ATTTTTTTTGCTGGTGAAAGGTAAAACAAGAAATGGCACATATATGAGAATATATTTTAAGATTGCTGACTGAAAGGAAATGATAGAAACATCTGCTTTTCATTTTCAAAGCTTCTGCTGCTAAAACTGATGTAAGAAATGCGTAGACCTTGGATAAATGTAGGCTTACCAGCTCTTTTCAAGTCAGTCAGATTAATGGAAGAAGGAACCAGCACTGAAAACACTGGTAGTACTGTCATTTTTAAATGTTACTGGGTGACTTGGAAGTATGTGGAATGTGTTTTAACATAAGTATTGCTGACTTCAATAATTCAATATAGCTCATGGGGCGCTGCTCATAATAGTTACAGTGCTGTTAGCATCACATACGTGTTAGTCATAGATTTCATATTTGTAACCTTTGTTGCTTGAAAAGCATAGCATGGGCTTCCGTAATATGACGACAAACGTTGAGACTGAAATGAAGCTAATATTAGCCATGATAAAAATGCAGAATACTAGCTCTGACCTCTCTTTTTAGAAGAAGCCAGTTGGAGTTAAATAACTGCTGCATTCTTTGTTTCATTTTATTTTGGTGGCTTTATCAGTGTTGCTGTGTTCTTATTTGTCAGTAATGATGTATCTTTTCATCTGATTTGAAAGACGGTGCTTAGGAATAAGTATAATTGGGTATTGAATTGAATCAGATTTTATGGAAGCAGACGTATTCCTCAATGCTCTGTTATGGTCTTAAACTTACTCATACAAATACTTTGGTAAATTATATGCCTGCCTTATCATTTTGAATAAATATAAAGCAGCCTGAGTGAGCAAAGCAGGGGTAGGCAAACTCTTTCCCTCAAGTAGTTTCTGTGCTATTTAACTAATAAAATTTGTCAAAATACTTATAAATGCCAACTCTCTTGGTGAAAGTTTTTAAGGTTTAAAATTTAGGAATTTGAGAAACCTGTTTCTTTGCAATCTGCTAAATGAAAGCAGTGAAAGTCGCTTTACAACCTGGGGTCATTTAATGAAATGCAGTGCTGGGAGATTCAGGTCAGGTAAATGAAATATTTTCTTATACACACCTAGTTAGAGATTTCAAAAATATTTTAAAACATGGTAAGCAGTATAAACATTGATCTCTCTCTCTCTCGCACACGGATTGTAGAATTCATTATGACATAGTGTAGTAATGACCACCAGTGTAGATGTCTTTAAACAGTGATTAAAGAGATCCATATAGAATAAGGCTATTAGTTGTGATGGTTATGTATTCCCTCCAATATCGGAAGTAGCATGCCTCTGTGAACCAGTTGCTGGGGATGCTCATGTCCTGTTTTGTGGCCATCTGATTGCCACTGGAGGTAGGACTGTACTAGGTGAGACTTTAGTTTGAGCCATCATGACTTTTTAATGTTCTTATAATGCATAGTAGCAAAGGATCAGAGAGAAAATGAATCAGAAAGTATATTAATAAACTGGATGTCCAGTTTGGTTTATAGGATTTAGTCGTATGTAAATATTATTGAAGCGACTTATTATTATTATTATTATTATTATTATTAATATAACATTTCTATGCCGCCCCTTGCCGAAACCTCGGGACTTACTAGAGTGAAATGACTAAATGGGAATCACTGATTTCGGGGAGGAAAGTACAGTGGTACCTCGGCTCACGAATGCCTCAGTTCACGACCAAAACGGGTTGTGAACAGAAATTTCATAAAAATTTTGCCGCAGGTCGCGAACTCTGCATTGGGTGACGATCATGAGTGCGCCCTCCTTCCCTGCACGGGTGCGATCACGGTCATGCTGGGGGGGGGGAGAGATGGTTGCGTTCTTTCTGTGGGAAGATGGCTGCAATTGCGCCCGTGTTCCCTGCCCAAGTGCACCCGCACCTGCCTCCCCCCCCAGCGTGCCTGTGCCCATCTCCCCCGAGTGCACCTGCGATCGCTTCCATCTCCCCCCCAGCATGCCCACAATTGCGCCAGTCTCCCCACCTAGCGTGCCTGCAATCGTGGCCATCTCCCCCCAGCCCCCCGCAGGATCCCTGGAGGGGTGGAGATGGCTGCGATCTTTGTTGTTCTTTGTCACTTTGATTCAAATTTTTGTGAGTAAAAGAAATAGTTGCATAATGGATTAACCTTATTTACATTGACCCTTATGAGGAAATTTGACTTGGCTCACGACCAGTTTGGGTCATGACCAGAGTCCTGGAACAGATTAAGTTTGTGAGCCAAGGTACCACTGTAATAGGAGAATTTTCTGCTATGGATCCTGCTACTCTCTTCAGTTTTCACCTTATGTTAAGAGTTTTGCTCTCAGAAGAATCTGCCCTTAAGTGTTGTTGAACATGATTTCTGAAGGGTACAATTAGTCATGGTGCTTCACATGTTTAGAAATACTAGTTACGATCAAACTTTCACCTCCTTGTGACTTTTAAATTATAAATTCTGACACACGGAGAAGTGATGCTTACAAAGCTAGTGACACATAAAATTATATTGAATTGTTTGGAAAGAGTGAGAAAATTCAGTATCATTTATTGTATTTCAGACAAAATAGGAAAGGAGTTCTGAATTCCAAGTTTCACAAATGAACACAGATAGTATTGACCATCTTAAACAAAGCATGATACCTCAAATGTTTCCTCTTTTGGATAGTTTGTGCATGTATGAAGTTGCTCAGTGATACAACTACTATTCTTCAGTTCAGCAAAAGGCACAGAAGGTTGAGTATGGCATGTCAGATAGTAATAAATAATCATTTATTATGATTATATTCATTATAAGGATTATTATAGTAAATAATCATCATTGGCTAATAAATCATTCATCTTCATCTTCAAAGAAGAGTTAAAAAGAGGGCACTATTTTCTAAATTTGCTGATACTGCTTAAACCTTGGAGAGATGAGGGAAAATTATGAAAAGTGTAGGAAACAACTGAAGTACAAGAAGCAAGTCCAGCGAAATTTGGAGAAATGGAGAAGCTTTTGTTACACACTGAAAACTTAAGTTCTCCTGACTCAAAGTAGTAATAGGCTGAGTCAAAATAATTATTTCACTGGATGGCCTTTATAGTCTGGTCATTGCAAATATATATTGATGATGTCACTGATGTTCCAGATTTTATTAAATAAAATAAATAGAACAGAACAGAAAGCAGTGCATTAAACAATTCCATTGAAATTGGCAAAGATAAGTAACCCACCTAGAGCTTTTGGTTTAATTTGAACATATTGTACTGAGTCTCATGTTCTTGTTTCTACTGGATTTAGCTCACCAGTATTGGTGGTATGAACATAATCAGTTGCTTATAGAGCATATGAAGAATGACTACTGAAAACTGATGGCTGAGACTGCTGCACTTCTGTACAAATTGATTAAACCTTTACTTTCAATCATACATGAGATTAGCATTGTATTCAACCTGTGCTTGCTTTCATCCCTCTAAAATTGCAAAACATTGTAAAGCAGAGCAGTGTTCTGTTTGAAGACACTGTATGTGGGGGTTTACTTCATGTTTCTTCTGTACAGTGCAATCTCACTTTTCAGACATGAGACACACAGTTGGCAAAATAGGGCACTTGAATGTGTGGCATTCCTTTAAGTATGAAGAATTAACAACAATTACATAGAAATTGCATCCATAGTATCATAGAATGTAGCTTGTTTCCAAGCTAAATTTAACATTTTGGAGCTCCATAGTATAATAGGTGACATCATTTGATTTAATTCTTTTTTTATTTTGGGCTACATGTGGGCCATCCATACTGTGGACAGACCTCATAGTCTGCAATATATGTTTGGAAAACTGAATAAGAATTTATGTGAATTGGAACAAGGGATTTCTAGACCTGTGTGTTTATAAGCTGTTCTCAGACTATGCATACATGCTTGGATTATGCTTGGGAGAAATTTATTGATTCAGTTGGATCCAAGAATTTGTCACTCTTTGAGAAGATGCATTGAAGCAATGGGAATTTAACCATGATTAACCTCGTTGATTTCAAAGGTCTACTATAAACATGACTATTGTGGATCCCAGCATTGAAAGAGAATTTGATAGGGTGTTAGAAGAATTAAGGAACTTTAAGGTCAACAATGAAGAATTGAAATTGTAAAAGATTTTGCATTGCTCAACTCATTTATCAATTCAAAGGGAGACTGCAGCCAAGGCATTTGAAGAAGACAGACTTGGAAAGACAGCAATGAAGAAACTAGAAAAGATAATCAAATATAAAGATGTTTCACTGGAAGCCAAGTCCAAGATAATTTATGTCATTGTATTCCCAATCCCTATGTATAACTGTGAAAGCTGGACAGGAAGAAAATGTATGTGTTTGAAAGATGGTGCTGGAGGAGGGCTTGGACCAACAGAAAGACAGACTAATGGGTCTTAGAAGCAAGCCAGAACTTTCCCTGCAAGCATGAATGGTAAAACCGAGGCTGTCAGACCTCAGGCACATCATGAGAAGACAGGACTCACTGGAGATGACAATAATGAGGGAAACCAGAAGGCAGAAGAAGAGGAAGACCAAGTTTGAGAGGGGAAGAGGAAAGAGACTGTTAGGGGTCATAGCAGGGGGTCATAGCAGAGAAAGTCAGGCCAAAAAAGTAAAATTAGATGCTGACGCAACAGCGTGTGGTGATTTTCCAAAGGGGTTCCCTAATGACATTGGGATTATGCCATTCTGAAGGTATTTGTGAAGTTGTACTCACTATACCTAAATTAAAAAAATAAAATTAGAAATTCATCTAAAGGAAATGTTAACAGTATTTTAACTAATGCGATTTCATTTAACCCAAAGCTGTATTCATAATGTCTGAGATATTATGATTTGTTTGCAAGAGGGAATACTTAGCATCCAAAGGCATTCATCAAAACAAAAGTTACTTGCAAATATGCCTTTTGAACTGTTTGCATCTGAAAGCTCAAGAACTTGATAATATGTCTTGAGAATGTTATATGATTCATGATTTATCCATAGTTTACAAAAGGTTTTGTTTCGTGGTGCATGGAAATATTTAAGTGTTATTTTGAGCAGAGTTTCTTAGCATTTTTTAAAATGTCTGCTTTGTACTAAACAAGCAAGTTGAAAATAACTACACTTGAATTTGCTTTGTTAGGTTGAAAAATTACACTTATACCACTCAGATGGAGGTATTACACCATGAGGTATCAATTGTATCTGGTCACTATAGTGTGGCAAGTGTCTGAAATACAAAAAAATATCTCAAAGGAGCAGAGATTATCTAAGAACCTAAAATACAGTTATATATTAATGCTGAAAAGAGTAACATTCTGGAAGGTAGGGTATAGTCTTAGAAAACAGGTTATATTTCTTCAGTAGAATTTCTAAGGTATGTTTAATGGACTTGAATGGAGTTAATAATGAATAAAAATGTTTCTTCATTCTGTAGGAAAAAGGATAAATATGTTGCAAGGTACAGGCTCCTGTTGATGAACCTAGAAAATGTGCAAGTTGCCTTGATCTTCCCACCTCCTCATTTTGGTACTCAGATGGAAAACTATTTTGCATAATGGGACTTATTGTCTAGATAGGCAAAACAGTTACTTCTCCTTGCTGTCCATACCTTGCAGGTTAGTGTTAGAAATAAACAGTTGTAGGTCCTATTTTTTAATTATAATTAAGCACAAAGAAGTCTAATGGATATCTCAAAAACTGGCTCCCTAGACTGTGAAGTTTGGTTGTTCCTAATAAAAGTATCACCTTAGTATTATTTGAGCAGTTCTGATTGGCAAATATGGTTGCCTGCATTTATTGTTTGTTTGAGGTATACATATGAAAAAATGTATTGGGAATGAAATCATGATTGTCATTAGTCAAGAAGCTGCGATTGCATATGATTTATAAGTCTACTAGCAAGAAAGTAGATTCAGATACATTTGGGAGAGAATAGGTTTGCCAGCATAATAAGCGAACTTTTCAAATCAAAGGGAAATTGATCAAAGCACCTTGCCATTTGCAAAGACCAGAGTTAAGACAGTCTCCTCTTTTTTGAATGCTTGAACTGAGCTGTTGTCTACGCGCATTAATTCTTGATTTGCACACAAGAACTAAAATCTTGCTGAACGCAGTGTAATGATGTTACAAATAGCTGAATCCGGGGTGAATGAATGCACCATGAATTGATGAATGCACGATCATTTTACAAGTGCTCACAGCTTTCATTCAAAGCTTCCTATTTCCTGCTTCCGCGGCATTTGGTCACCCCCAGCCCTCTCCAAGTCTCCATCCTCACCAGGTAGCCACAACAAGATATATCCCAGTGTTTTTCTTTTGGATGGAACGAAGCCTTCTAAATGAAGTGCTAATTTTCAAGAATTTATTTACCATGTTCACTTCCTAATAATAACTCTGGTCCACATGGGTTCCAGAAGCATGGTAATGAAAAAAGGCAGGTAAATGGACACCACCCAGGTTTTGTTCAAATTTAATATATTTGAGTAATCATGGGCAAGAGCAAGGCACTTCATGGGTACAGGGGGAGGGATCCGATATCTGTGTTGCTTTCTGCAGATCTAGAATATTTGTAAAGGGCCTTGATTCTCCCCACTCCATATTTACTTACTAAAATGTAAGTTGCATTTGTTTAATAGAACTTATTGGCTTGGTTTGTATTTAATGCTAACCTGCATTGCTGTACATTGAGCTGGCATCTTGAGTCACCCTTGCTAAACTGGAAAGGTACAGAATTGCAGCCGGATGGGTAACTACATGTGGAAGCTGAGCATGGTGTTGGACATAATGGCCTTGTAAGCCCTGTCCAACTGTATGACTCTATTCTAACCCACGAGGTTTGTGTTACTTAATTCTGGGTTGTTGTGATGTATAAACCTGGGTATGACAACAAATCATGATTGGTTAACTATGCAAAACCTGAAAAAGAGTCCATGGTTGTTATTCAGTTGTGAACTCTGAGGTTGTTTAAGTCATAGTTATTATGTGTGAACCGAGAACCATGGGTTGTTTGGCCAGGTTACAGAGGTAGCTGGAAAGAGCAATAAAAACAACATACTGCTGTGTATGTCAGTACTATGATACTGCAAAAGCATTTAGAATAAAAGGCCAAGGGGGCGGGGGGGGGGGGGGGAGGAAGCAAACAAGGGACTGAGCAAACCAATCATAGTTTGTTCAAATTCTTACCAGGTAAACCTTGCACAGGGCAATGAGCCATGAGTTAGTGTTGTGTTAAAAACAGTTATAGCCCAGTAAGTCAGAGGAGAATTGCAACAGCTATTTGCAATGTATACCCTACATTTTATACTGTAAGAGGTCTACAGTATAAATAGGGTCTAGAAAGGGACTCTAGACCCTACTTTGTAATGCAGTTCTGCACAGAGAAGCCTTCTGTATTTCTTACAAGCTGGCTCCTTGGTGTGTGGTTTTTGGTTTATTCTTAATAAACACATTAACCTAGTATTATTTTTTCTTATTATTCTTTTCTTTTGTTTTAAATTGGCAAATGTTACCTTGGCTTTTGTTTTGCTTGAGGTATCTAAAAAGAAAAAAGTGTGTACCTTGATATAAAATAATGATTATCATGAGTTAAATATATATAATCATATGAGTGGTATAGGTCACAAGAAAAAGCAGATTCAAATATGTTTGGGAGAGAGGAAGGTTGCGAACTGTATAATAACAATTTCCTTTTGGAAATCCAAGGACAATCAGTGATTGCTTCCTCCCCTCTAGTGCCATTACTGATCATGGACACATCTGTTAAGGGATCAGCTGTAGCTCATGAATTCCTGTCCTTGTGACAATTTAGCCAACATGACATAGGCTTAACTTGGAGAGCCAGTGTGGTGTAGTGGTTAAGAGCATGGGACTGGGACTCAGAGGATCTGGGTCCTAGTCCCCGCTCAGCCATGGAGCCAACTGGGTGACTTTGGGCCAGTCACAGACTCTCAGCCCAACCTACCTCACAGGGTTGTTGTTCTGGGGATAAGATGGAGGAGGAGATGTAAGCTGCCTTGAGCCCTTTGTAGGAAAAAGGCAGGATATAAATCCATAAATAAATAAATAAATAAATAAATATCTTAAAACAGCAGGTTTTTAAAAATGTTGAATAGAGTTATTTTCTCATAATATAGACCTCTTTATTAAAAGGAAATATCAAACTTCTTTAAGGTTCCCTGATTTAATAATTTCTCTACCACTAATGTCAAAATAAGTAACAAACTGGTTAATGTTATTAAATTAGTTCGTTACAAATATTTATAAATAATTCTTTTAAATTACTACTACCGCTACTAATTGGTCTTTTCTTCCTATTACCTATAATATATAGTGAAGCCTTAATTGTCAGTGAAAGAGAAAAAAAACTCCAACACTTTCCAGTCATATTGAGCAAAGTATTATGAACTTCAGAATGGAACAGAGCTTAGCTCAATATTTTATTATCATGAACATTGTTCCATTTCTGTACTGCTGCGTGGTTTAGAACAGTTGCTATAAAAACAGTATAGTAAAATGCTACAGTATGCGCATGACATATGTGGGGTTTTATTGCTGGTTTTAATATGTTGCTTGATAACATCTATCTGCAAACATTGTATTTCTTCTCTTCTGTTCATTCAGATGAGCAATACTGGAGCTAGCCCAATGCCAAGTGTTCCATCAAGCAGTGGAAGAGGGACTGGAAAATCAACACACTTTACTCCAGAATTGCAAAGTATGATGTAAGTCTAATGTTGTTTTTATATCTTATGATGTTTTAGATTTACATAACTAGGTGGCAGGGTCAATGGAGGACAGGATGGTTTTGTCCAATATATATTTATGATCTAATTTGGAAAAGATTAGAAATGGTTTTCAAGAAGGATTAAATAACTTAGCAGAGTCTTTCCTTGTTGAACTTAAATATAAATGCATAAATGCATAATGATCAAATATAATTTTGCTACATGTTTTTTACTTTTGGATTTCCTGTATATTTCTTTTGTGTGTGTGTGATTTTTAAAATCAGAAAACAGTCTCTTTCATAAATTTGCTTTTCAATTTAAACAGTGTTTAATGATAATTACCGCCTTGTCCTTATACAAAATGATAAGTTATATTAAAATTATACTATTTGTGATACAATTAGCATATGTAGACCACTTGGCACTGATTATTTCTGCTCAGGACAATGAGAAATAATCATTAGAAGAAATGTTGATTTAATAATAATGATGCAGGGATCTAGTTCAAATTTATGATGAGAACAGAAAGTTTTTTTTCTTTTTGATCTTGGACTATGTATATTTTCATAAAGCCATAGGCTTCATATTTTAAGAATGCTATAATTTGGAAGATTTCATACTTAAAGCTTCATTAGTTGCCTTCTTCAAAAGGCCAGGCTACAAATCTTGTTTTGGTAGAAGGTAACCAATTAATTAGAGAAGTTGACCTGCCCGCACATTTTTTTCTTTTATGGAAGTCCAAGATGTGTTGGTCTGCAAAATATGCATATATGGCAGAGGGGTGCAGCGGAGGGGGAGGCAAATGAATTCTTTCTTTGTGGATCATTATTTCTGATTTATCATGTAGTTTAAAGAGAATTTTTAGTGCAAGACTAAGATTATAATGCCCTCTCAGAACTTCAGAGGAAGTGCAGGATGGATAAATTTTTCAGCATTACTAATAAATCTGCTGTCTCTTTAGTAGAAATTGACATATGTCTGTATAGATTGAGAAATAATGTATCTTGCCTTTGTCATCCAATTCATTTCAGCAATTAGGTGATACAGCTAACAACTTCTTACACAGCATTTTCTTTGACAGAAATGGTATGATTTTTGAAAGTAAGGCAAAAATGTTCCTGTTTACAGCATACAAGTTCAAATAAACACATAATAAATTGTAACCATATTAAGCCTATACTAGTTTCATTAAGTAGTTTGTTTATGTCAGAAGCACTCTTGTGGATGTAGTTTGGATCACTACTCTTTGTAAATTTCAAAACTGAGTACAATGTGAAGTTGACCCCTTTTATAAATTAATGTGAAATAAATACAAAAACATGAATAAACATGTTTGCATTTAGGACAGAAGTCCAGATATTGGAAAAAATTTATCTCAGTGTGCCTCTTTTGTCCACCCCTCATTTTGGTATGTTGCTGTTCACTATTTTGGGCTTCCTTTGGAAAGAAAAACAGGGTACAAATATTGGAATTAATTGAAAACGCTGCAGCTCTCTTTGCATGCTGCCTTTTAGGGCTAGAAGGCAGAAAATGATGAATTGGAACCAATTCTGGTAGGATGGAGCTGTGGAAAAATAGTTCACTGTTACCCTCTGAACAATGTACAGGTGTTTGTACAGGTAGAGAAATAATGGTAGTGAACAGAGCATGTGGTGATTGTTCACCTCCTGATTATTTCCAAGTGTACATCTCCAGTTGGCTCTTTTGAAGAACATTTTTATATTCTTCATTATATCTTGATGCGATATTCTTAGCAATATACTTTTCAGCCTTCATCATGTTGTCTGCTGCAGTGGTCAGAAATCACAAGACCTTGTTGGTTTTCTGTTTGGTGTTACATTTTGACTCTGACCCAAATCTCAACTAGTGCTCCAGTGTTCACATTGAGTTTCTGACAAACACAATTATTCCAAAAATTCACATGAAAGGAGAACTTTTATTTGCATACTGAAACTCTTGCATGCAAAGTTTTCTGGTTTGGCAGTATGCTACATGGCACCTCTACATGAAGGTTTTCAAATTATAAGAATTAGAAAGTTTCAGAGTTTAGTAGCAGCTCTTCATAGCAGGGCTGCTTTTAATGTGGGTTCCATAAGTGAGCAGTTCCGAACTATATTTAAGGTACTGTGTGACTGATTTGTATGTTAAGAACTGTGATGCAAACTCTTACTTCCCCGTGTGTTCAGTGCATAGGCACAGAAGTCCTAGGTAACATTTGCACAGTGGCCATTCTTAATTCCATCCTGTGCAGCAGGAAAAGATGGCAATGTAAAAAACTCTCAGCAAGGTTTTGGTGTCCTAGTGAGGCTCCAGCCCTATATTAGGAAATAATACCATTGTCTTTCCTTTCAAAAAATTTTTATAGAATGTTTTCTTTCCCTTGGATAGGCTCAGATTTTTTTAAAGATTGTTTTCTAAATATGAATTATCTAAATTGAGTAATGCATATTTTGTTATTCAGGGTGAGGGGAAATGTAACAGTACATTACTTGGGCTTGGAAATCAAAGCAAGGGCATGAGTCTGGGGAGCTAGGGAGGCCAGGCAGATCCTTTGGGCAAGTAGCTGAGAAGCCTCTATTTTTATTTAATGGTGGGCTTCCTGATTAAGCACTTTCGAAACTCCCCTCCCCGCCAGTGTACACACAATTCCTGTCAATGTAGAAGTTATTGTTGGCTTTATAAGTGGAAGATCTAGATGTCTTCGTACTGTTTTAGGCCTAGTGCAGTTCCTACTTTAAAAGCTATCCAAACAACTAGACTTTGATTTTGAGATACTTTTCACAAACTGTTCTGCTGACTTCACTGGGGCTAATGGAATTTTTCCAGTTGGTTTACTTTGCATGTTTTCTTGAAAAAAAATATTATTAGCAGAAAAATAATTACATGACAGGAATAGACTGTGGACAGAAATGCTAAAACTGTTTCCTTTGGCTTCTGATTTACAATAAGTTGCCACTTTAAAATAACTGTTCTTAGTTCCTTCAGGATTTTTTTTAAAAAAACAAACAAACATATAAATTACATCCTAGTCCTAAAACACATTTATTGGATGTAAGGAGTATTGATTTCAATGAAACCTCTGTCCATTTTAGAGCCCTTCGGAAGAAATATTGTTTCAAAGAAACACGTTTTGAACTTGCTAACATTAGCCTTGCAATTTAACTCATTTTAGACATGTTGCTTGCCAGAGTTGCTAATTAAGACACCCAGTCACTCACTTGTGTGCAGATGGACCAGATAGTGAAACATTTAATAAGCAAATATCTTTTAAAGCAATTATCCCCATGGCTACAGCATTTTAGAGTCATAATAATACATGAAAGCAGGAAATCTGTGGTTGGCTCTCCTGCCCTTTTAAAAAGCTTGATAGCAACTTACATGCAGTTGGAACTTCATTAGTGCAAGAGAGGGTTATTAACTCCATCACTGTACTATTTGCTTTATAATATTCCCCACTGCTGTGATACCCATTTGTGGAATAAACCCTTGAACAATGAAAACAAATAAAGAAATTTTGATAACTTCTGATTTCCTCACTATTTTGCAATATTAGCAGTTGGCAAACAACTGAGAAAATTGCTCAACAATGATTGGGCAGTATGTCAAAATAGACTGCAGTACAGACATGAAGTCTGGTTATTAGGAAATGAAAATTCAAGCCATCCTTCATCCTACAATGCCTTCAGGATTGGGACATTGAAATTGGGAGTCCAGTTTCAAATTGCCATTTCATGATGAATCTTATATGAAATAATGGTGTTGATTCATCCTGCTGTTTATTATGAATATCATTGCAAATGTTCTCCCAGCATTAAACTCTGTGGCCCAGAGTCCTTTGTACAGGTTGATGCACCCATGAAGGAGAGGGATAGCTTGGTGCATGAATTCTTTTGCCTTATCTCATTTGTTGACATGAATAGGAAGCACAAAAGCTCCATCTTCATGTGGGAACTCCTACTCCTGGGAGGAACAGTGAGATTCAGGCATGTGCCTGTTAAATCATCCCTTGGGTTATACCGAAACTGCTGAATGATGAGGGTGGGAGGGAGAAGGCAATTCTTCAGATCTCTACATATATAATGTATATACAATATATCTATATATAATATAGATATACAATATACAGTGTTGCTATCTATAACATTTGCATTATAAACAATTGGAAATCCATCTGCAAAATACTGTAGTTTTTAGTGCTGTAAAATATGCAGTGCACATCAAAATAAATTAGAGCTGGGCACAATAAAAGTTCCTTCTTTGCACACTTGAGATGATTAAAACAGGTTTCGTATTAAGGCTTTCCCTCATATGCAGAATTTTTGCCTAAGAAACTCCATCCTTGCTTCTAAAACAAGGAGTTTGGGTTGTAGTAATCTCTATTGTGTTGCAAAATTTAGCCTTAAATTGAAGAAAGTAGAGAGAAGCACTAGGCCACTCAGGTATGACCTAAATCATATGCCTGATGAATACAGTAGATGTGACAAATAGATTTAAGGAATTAGATCTGATAGACAGTGCCTGAAGAACTATGAACGGAGGTTCCCAACAGTGTACAAGAGGTAGCAACTAAAACCATCCCAAAGAAAAAGAAATGCAAGAAAGCAAAATGGCTGTCTGAGGAAGCTTTACAAATAGCTGAGGAAAGAAGGGAAGCGAAAGGCAAGGGAGAAAGAGAAAAATACACCCAACTGAATGCAGAATTCCAGAGAATAGCTAGAAGAGATAAGAATGTCTTCTTAAATGAACAGTGCAAAGAAAGCAATAGAATAGGGAGGACCAGAGATCTCTTCAAGAAAACTGGAGATATGAAGGGAACATTTCATGCAAAGATGGGCATGAAAAAGGACCAAAATGGCAGGGACCTAACAGAGGCAGAAGAGATTAAGAAGAGGTGGCACGATTACACAGAACTATACAAGAAAGAGCTTAACGTCGTTGATAACCACGATGGGGTGGTCACTGACCTCAAGCCAGACATCCTGGAATGTGAAGTCAAA